GACCAAAAAGAAATTGATCACGTTATTATTATTATTATCAATATATAAGTAAAAACGTTCAATACTTGTCGAATGACAACACAGTCGAAGTCTAAAGTCCCGATGAGTTATTAAAATATTACGAAACACTGTTGATATTCGATAAATATTGAAAGATTATTTATATCTATTTTATTATTCTGGCGAGCTAACTCGGAGATTCATGTGTCTATCACACTAAATATAACGGTCCTTCGTCAAGGTTGAAAGGTCATTAGGGGTAGCATTTTGTGTCATAACATATTTGGTCATTGTAGGTGATTGCTGGCCGACCAGCCCGTCTTGCGCCATGGTAGGTGTCCAAAAGCGGTAGATTACTGGCAAGTTATCGTTTTTCTCACCAGCAATGTCTTGCTAAGCGCATTCTGCGTTCACGTAAATATATGAAAATGTCAGGGAGAGGTCCATAGTGCTGTGATTTAGTTGGATTTTGTCTCCAAGAGATGTTAAATATAGCTTCTCAGGATCGGAGTGTAGGTTCCATCTAGCTTAAACTCTAAGATTTTAGTCGAGTCAGTGACACCATACGTTAACACCGCCTCTAGAGTAACTCTAAAGAAACTCCGTTTGAGGTTGTCTGGTAGATCAAACTGCCAGATTACATCCATTTTATTCAACACGGCCCAGGGTTTAGCGATGTGAATTTTCACGTCCCTTTCAGAAGAATTTATTTCACTTCCTAGGTATGTAATTGATTAGACAGATTTTATTGAATCTCCTGAACAATTTGTATTAAGCCTTGCTGGTTGTGGCTTATGAATTCAGAGGAACGCTAAATTTAATTTTTTTTTAATTTTTAAATTTAAAATTTTTTTATTTTAAATTTTTAAATTCTAAATTTTAATGTTAAAATTTTAAAGTTTTAAATTTTAAATTTTAAATTTTTAAATTTTAAATTTTTAAATTTTAAATTTTTAAATTTTAAATTTTTAAATTTTAAATTTTTAAATTTTAAATTTTTAAATTTTAAATTTTTAAATTTTAAATTTATAATTTATGGCGTCCTATGTGTCTAGAAACACAGCAATGCCGATCTCATTTGGTTTCGAAAGATTTTTGGTTTTATGGCTATTGTTTTCAATTATTCAACGTTGTGACTACAGAAGATTTCTTAAGGAAGTTGAAAATATTGTAAGAACCTGAACACAAATTTGCTATGGAGTATTCAGAAATCAGTGCACTTTTTATACATTGTCACCTTAGTAAATTACGTTCTCTTTTAGAAGCATTTTAAAGTCAAAATTATGGCCAGACACATTACGATTAACGGCAAATTCAGTTAGTATGTTCTTTTGTAAAAGCGGCTTTTTGATAAAAAATTTAATTGGATGTTTTCTCCAAGAGATGTTAAATAAAGCTCTCACTATCCAAGTGTAGGTTTCATCTTAAGCTTAAATTCTAGGGTTTTAGTTAATGTCCAGTCAGTGACAACATTCATTAACACCGTCTTTACAATGGCTCAAAAGAAACCCTGTTTGAGGTTTTCTGGTAGATCAGACTCCTAGATTATATTCATTTTATCAATTTTCACGTCTCTTTCAGTAGAATTTATTTCAGTTCCTAGGAATGTAAAAGATTCGAGAGATTTTATTGGTTCATCTGAGACACTTTGTATTGAGCCTTGCTGGTTGGATCCTATGAATTCAGTTTTAGAGGCATTAACGTAGAGTCCAACGTCCTTGGCAGCATTTTCTAGATGATGTAGGAGAACTGTGGAATTGATAATGGGGTCTGCTGTGATAGCTACGTCATCTTCATAATCAATAAATATCAAATTATATTTTATATACACTGAATTGTACGTATACTATGACTTACATTACTTGCTATTATTAGTAACTAGCATTTTTCTGACAAAATTCACCCGACCGTTTGTCTCGAAAGGACTTCCAATCGGTTGCGGACTGGGGCAGGAATTGGCTGGTTAACTTTAAGGCCTCAAAAACAAAATTGCTGTCTATTACTCACCACAGAAGACCGGACTGTAATCAAAAGAGCCAAAACTGAAACGAGGAAAGGAAGGTCCCATGCAAATGAAAACCCAGATCAATCGACAACCAGGAGAACTTCCAATGCTGAGAATATGCAAAGACTTCTGAACAAGAACAATCAAGAGCCTTCCACAGGAATTTAAGCGAGTTTCAAATATTTTAGAGCGTTCTCAGCCAGACTACACAGATATATATGACTTGAGTATTTTGTTGAGGAACCACCAACACTTTTTGGAAGAGCCACCTACATATAACTGGTGAATGTATTGTCCAACAAGCTTCCAAAATGATCCTTTTAAATGGTTTGTTATGTTCACGAAACTTTCACTTTTATTCGTATTTGAAGCAGGTTTTGAATTGAAGGTTTTCTGAGATCCTTTTCCTAGACCGGTGGCTAACCCAGGATATAGGATTCAGGCCGTTGTGCTATTTATGTAGATATGTGCACGGAGGAAAACAGATTGATTCAG